TCCCACTGAACAACAAATTAAATGGCCTCAATCACAGCCAAGTTCAGGGTTGCAGGGAGCTTAGGAGAAGGTGGAGAAACTGAGCACGGATGTAAACAATCCTCTCCCCAGGGGAAAGCTTCTCCTTTTAGTCAGCACCACAGAAGGGAATTCAGAGTCCCCTGCCCTGAGCCAGGGCAGAGGTATCTTGTCTGTCCCACCTGAAGAAAGAGGGAAAGCAGATGTCAGAGGGAAATGGTTGACAAAAGGAACAAAAACACAAAAAAGATAGAGGAGCAGATGCAGGAAGAGGGAGGAAGAGCCAGAAGGGTAAAGTGCTATGACTCAATATGTCCGGCAGATTGTCCAACAACAAGCAGCTGCCCATCCCAGTGCAGCAGGGCTGCCTTATTCAGCTTGGCCTTGGGGGCTCTAGATATGGCTTCTTGCTTCCTGCAAAGACACTCTCCCTTTTTCCTGCTCGTCATATGGTTTTCTCTAGATGACTCCCTAGCCTGAGTCCGAAAAATCTCTAACATCAGGAGTCATCAGCTGTGGCATTTAGTGGTCTAGGATAACAGCCACAGATCCCAGCCTGCAGTCCTGTGACAATGAAAAGAAAAAACCCAGCTGGTACAGACAGGTATTACTGAACTGCCTTCCTGTTCCCTGCCTCTCCCTCAAAGCAGTGGTCAGACCCAGCAAGGCAAATACTATAGTCAAACAACTGTCATCTAGTTGATTGGCTTAGTTCCAGGCTTCCTCCCACATTGTCTCTCCAGGCTCAAGCCAAGACTCTCCCCAACATGAGGCTGAATTTATCCCCTTTGCCCCAGACAGGAAAAAATTATTGTGAAAAGAAGAAATAAGGACCACCAAATCTTCAAGAAAATTTCAATGATCCCCCTCCCTTCATTTGCACATGAATCAGAAGACAGGCGCTACTGAGTCCTGCAAGTTCACACTTGCCTAGTTTTTACCTGCTATGAAACCTCAGCCTAGTGTTTAGTTGAATTCAACAAATATTTACTGAATGTCTTGTTCAGGGCAGGCTTTGTGGTGGACATTGGAGACTGGCCTCTGCCTTTAATAAGCTCGAAGTCTGGTGGGGGAAAAAAAAATCACAATTCGCTGTAGTACAGGGAGATCTATAATAGAGTGAGGATGTACAAGTATTATGGGAGTGAGTCCAAAGAGCAAGCATTTCATTCGGCCACTCTGCAGTAGCGAGAGACCAGGGAAGACTCCATGAAGAAAATGACATTTGAGCTGGGCCTGAAGAATGAGGAAGGTTCTGCTAGCAAAAAGGAGGAATAGGGAAAAATAGAGGTTTGGAGAAAGCAGAGGCCTTGCTGGGCATGGTGGCACACACCTGTAATCCCAGCTACTTGGGTAGCTGAGACAGAAAATTTTCAATTTCAAAGTCAACCTAGGCAACTGAGTGAGACCATGTCTCAAAATAAAATTTGTAAAAGAACTAGGGATGTAGCTCAGGGGTACAGCATTTGCCTAGCAGGTGCAAAGCCCCACATTCATTGTCCAGTAAAAAAAAAAGTAAAGCCTAGAGACCTGAAAAGAGTGTTCTGCCAAGCCAATTGTAAAATCCAGAGAGTACAGAGAAGAGGTGGATAAATTGGGGTGAAAGGGGCCTTGAGAAAAAGCTAAGGAGACTGAACACACACGTGGACAAGGGCTTCCCTGAATCTGCTTCCCCCACCCCGCTGGAGGATGGTCCTGTCCTCAGCTTCCCCCACAGTACTAGGACAATCACCATTTCTCCCACCCTGTTCCCACAAAAAGTTGGATTCCTTGTCTGGAGCCCGAATGAGGTGGCTGAATATCTGCCAGGAGAGTTCCATGTGCTAAATGAAGCCTTCAGCTGGTATTGCTGACATGATCATCAATTAGCTTAGCTGATTAAACCTCCTCTGAGGAGCAGGGGCAGGGTCTCCTGAAGGCCCTGCACTCAGTCTGGTCTCTTCCTGTTCAGGTCAGAATAACCACCCCAGATCCCTGTATTCATTTAGAGAAAAAGCATAGGCTTTGGTAGCTCTGTGGTCTTTAGCTTCAGGTTCCTCAACTTAAAAATGCCAATATTAGCAGCAGATATGTTGGGTTGTAGTGAGTCTGATGCATGGAGCGTACTTACACCTCGTGCCCAGAATAGTGCTTTTTAAAAAATGATAGGTACTGTGAGGCACGGTGATGCACATCTGTGATCTCAGTAGTTGGGAGGCTGAGGCAGGAGGATCACCCTAAATTCAAGGACAGCCTTGGCTATACAGTAAGTTGAAGGCTAGCCTTGACTACATAAGCAAGACCCTGTCTCAAACAAACAAAAGGAAAAAAAAAAAGATAGCTATTAATTAGCCTTGAGCTTTGGGCTGGGGGTTTGAAGAGGAGTGGAGGAAAGTTCCTGGCCATAATATCTCATAATCCACAAAATAGCAAGATGAATGTCTTTAACATGCCATGAAAGCTCAGAAAAAGGTTCCATCAGCAACAGATCCTACAGCAGGAGCAGTAGCAAGTTTCCAAAGTGGAACTGGACAGACAGGCCCCCTCTATAGCCTTGCCACATCTCAGTGCCCTAGATGGTTGTTTGCATAGTGGCTTTGTCTTGTCAACACTTTCTCTTTAGTTCACATCTAAAGACTTTGCAAATAGTGACTCAAAAGCTAAGTGTTCTCTAGTATACTGACCAGCTAATCTGAGCTCAGGAGAATGGGCCCACATAACCCTCATGGCAAACTTCTCTCTCTCATGCACCAAGAAAAACCAGGACAAGACCTGGCAACTCACCAGTTTAATGTTGAAAAGGCATAGAAGAACAAGAAAGTGGGATTTCTAGAGGATAAAGGTAACTACAATGGGGCTCCGTCTCCCATCTCCTCTCTCACAGTCTCTGTAAAAGAGACATGGGAACCTGTGACAATAGTTAGCACGGTGAGAACCAGAGGTGAGACTCAGTCACCAAGAAAGTGAATTCAACCCTAAAATCATTGATTAAACTAAAAGACAGGGAACTTACATCTACTACACTGAGCCGAGCATCCTGAACATTATGATCCAGGCTCACTCTAACTGGAATTCTGTCAGCTAGAAGAGTTAGTTTGTTTTTATAAGCCTCAAGATGGATAACTTATGGGGTAAGAATGGTTTGGAGTGATAGAGCACTTGCTTAATATGCATAAAGCCTGGATTCCATCTCCAGCACCACACGCGCACACACACACAAAGAAAAAATTTTTTTGACTTTAATTAGGCCAGGAGTGGTGGTGCACGCCTGTAATCCCAGAACTCAGGAGGCTGAGGCAGGAGTATGACTGTGAGTTTGAGACCAGCCTGAGCTACATAGTGAGTTCCAGGTCAGTCTCAACTACATAGTGAGACCCTGTCTCAAAAAAACAAAAAAAATAAAATAAAATAAAATAAAACTTTAATTAAAAAATAAGATGACTTATTCAGACAAATGGTGAAGACACAGGGAAAGACCACTGAAAATGGCTAGAACTTAGGAATGGAATACACACATGATCCAAGAGCATGACAGAATAGAAAGTGTTCAAAAATGCGTGGGAATGGCATTAACAGAAATGTGAATTGCCAGGAGATCCCAGGACTAGAACTGGTGTGTGGATTCCCTGTCCTTGAAGACCTTTTATTGGGGTGGAGATCAGGCAAACACCTGAAGGGCCAGAGCTAGGGCAGAGTTAGACCTGAGGATGTCAGCAGAGACAAAGCCTAAGGATTTCCACAGTCACCCTTTTCCCTAGCTGCCAGTCATAGTAGTCTGTTGTTGGGTTCATGGCTGCCTCTACCTCCTCTCCCAAAGCCAGTGCAGTGGTTTTCACATTCACAGAAGCCCGACAGCAACCTGACCTCTACCTCAGATCTGATCAGATGCTGTTTACCAAAGCACAGGCACCAACCCAGAAGCTAGGGACAGGCAATGGGGCTGAGCAGAAAAGTTACTGCCAATATGACCCAGGCCAAGGGGTCAAAGTGCTCCCCTCTGCCATCTCCATGTACTCTGCACTAAGGGCAAGTGTCCAGCAGTCACTCTACTACCTAGCATCTCCCTTGTTCCTCCCCTCCTCACCCCCCAAATTCCTGCTATTTTCCTCTTTTTAATGCAGAGTCAACAAGTAGAGGGCACAAGATGCTTCCTGTCTTGGACCTTGCCCAGGCCTCATAGGATACAACACAGCCCTTTCTACAGATCTCATTACCCCTCCCCAGTAAAACACAGCCCTCCAAACCCACAGCAGGTAAATTAGCCCCACATAGCCTGCTTTCTCCATCCTGCAGACACTGCACTTTTACCTACCCCACCTCCTCCACTTGATAAGACACCCAGTCAAAGTGTCATTTTCTCTACCAAGCAGTCTGCCCATCCTTTTCCAGTCTCTTGGTCTTGAACCTCAGACACCACGTCTGGATCTACTCATATCCCAAACATGACCAGCACAGAGGACCCTCTTCCCTCCAGCTCCATGTGACACTGGAGGGGCCCCTCAAGGCCCTGGATGTGTAGCCTTGCAGCTCTGGAAGCAGGGAGGGGACAAAACTCCTGACCCAGCTCTCAACACTGTGTTCCTGGAGACACTTCTTTCCCTGCCCCTTAGGAGGCATGCTCCGAGGCATATACCCTGCCTGGAGGGGAAGACACCCTCCTGACTGGAGCTCTACCTGGCTACTCAGGAATCCACACTGGCCACCTTCATCATGAGCCTCCCTACCCCAGGCCCAAGCCCAAGCCCAACCCCAACTGGCACTATTCTCAAGGGTGGAAAACAAAACAAAATAAAACACCAAAACAAGACTAAAGTGCTGATTCCAGACAAGTGCTCAAGAGCAAGATTCAAGTGCTAGATCCTGCTTTTGAGTGTCACACACCATTAAGTGCAGAAAACCAACCCCAGAACCACTTATTACTGATTCTGCCTCAAACAAATTCCAAGTGGGTCATGTCCAGAAACCACCACCAGCCCCCTCCTCCTCTTGAGGCTGGGGGGTTAATGGGTAGGGAAGGTTGCCATGAGGCAAGTGGGGAAGAATCACTGGAACAGGCAATCTCTACTCTTACCCCTGCTCTAGATAGCCCCACTCTGGGGGACAGAAGACTACTGACTTTACTCTTCTTTAAATACCACAGTCCTTGATCCCAGCCAGCAAGACTCTGGTTCTCCACACAGAATGTGACAACAGTGACCCTAGTGGTCAGGTAAGGATGTGGCGCAAAATATCCTACTATTTTAAGAGAAGACACTGTTTATTAAGCCCCTCCTACATACTAGACATTATGCTAGATTATTTCAGATCTTCTCAATAACTCAGAAGAGGATGTATTATCCTGATTTTACAAATAAGGGAATCATAATTTGTTCCCTATTTAGCCCCCTGAACAAAGTGAACTTCCCACTACAGAAAGTAGCAGCAGGGGGTTGTTTTACAGAAAGAAGCCCAGGAGGAGATAGCCCCGGGAGATGTGAAATACCACCTGGAACCCCTTGTCAGGGCTCCACTCCAAATGCAACTCCCAAGCTGCTCAAGACCCAGTGTCCCCCCTTCAGCATGACCTGTGGAGAGTGTTGCCAGCCCTGAAAGGCAGAGCCTGTGACATACCATAGGAAGAAGCCTTCCCATTCAGTGACACTTTGCCTTGCTGGGTACAAATAACAGGCGACAGAGGAATAGCATTCTGCATCACACAAAATCTGAAACCTCTATTTTAAACTCACTTCACCTATCTAGGGTCACACCTGTGCCCCAGTGCCCAGTAGTAGAAGCTTGCTGGGCCAGCTGGCAGCCCTGCAGTCCAGGCTTCCAAATTCAGGTGGTTCAAAATGGAGAGGGAAGCCACTCTGGGATTCTATATTAAAGACCCTTTGATCTGATCTTGGGGAGACAACCCAGAAGGTAAGAGTGGCAGATGAAAATATGTTGATATACTTTGGGTCTGTTATCCCTGTTAGACAAAAGAAGAAAGGTCCAGAAATAGGAAAAGGCTTCCTCACACTGAGCAGTCCATGCATGACCCAAGGCTGGGTGGGGTGCAGATTCCTCACTTTAACCTGTGACTCCACACATGGGGAGGCCTTCTACATACTTCCTTCTCCCCTTAGGTGGATACAACATGAACACTGCTCATCAGACTTCCTCCCAAAGCCCTGTTCTTGGCCAGCTGATACTTCCAGGTCACATGCAGGACAGAAAAGTAGCACCAGTAGCACACCTGGGCCACGTGGCGTATGTCAGCCAGTGTCTGTGCAACTTCCAAATCCCAGCATGGAGTTAAGTCCTCACCCCTACCCCAGACAAGAGCATCCAGGGGATCAAGTGAGTAACCAGAACTGTCAGAAAGCTACAGGGCTGCTGTGGAAGACAGCAAAAGGAGGGTCTGATTTCTCAAGACAAAGGTAATTGCTTCGGAACATGGTCACCCATTCATTTCCCAAGACATAGCTGTCGAAGCACCACAGCAAAGAACTATGCATTTTGGAATCTTGGGTTTCCCCCTAGCTTAGCTTTATTTTTCACCTCATCTAAGATTTAAGTAACAACAAACTCCATGATGTTCATAATTGGAGTCAGACGCTTCCTCTATGAATCCATGGGAAACACAACCCCAACTGCAAGCCAGGAGGTAGAGTGTCCAGGCTTTTCCAGGCTCATGAAAGCTTGGAGAGACTCAGGCCTTCCACCTGCCTGCTTGTGTGGGGCTCAGAATGACCCTGCAGCCTCTAATTCATTTCTATGCAGGTAGAATGCTCAGCTCAAACCCAAAGACAGTAATATGTGCTCCACGAATAGTTCAGAAACAGCAGCCCTAATTCAGTTACAGATGAAGGGGTAATCTTTAGCCCAAAGTGACCAGGATCACCAACCCAGTGATGACAACAGCTATTCTCCTTAACAGCAAACATACTTCCAAGCTCCTGTTTCCCAAGAATTCTCCAAGCTGTGGCATCTTGCTGCCTGCCAGAGTGTTTACGAAACACTCTCCATGGTCCTATCCTATTGCTGCAGGTGTCTCATCCTCTCTGCTGAGTCGCAGCATGTTAACTGAGGAGTGTGAAAAGAAATAGAGATAAAATAAATTAAAATTCTCAGAGAAGCAATAAGAAATTTTAATTTGAAAGAACTTGAAAATACACTGCCTAGGTTAGGCAAAACCACAAATGCAGGCAAAGCAGCAAGCTGAGAGCATAGCGCCCTTCTATTTGGTGAGTATGGACCAGGTCACAGGGTAGATCCTGACCTACAGAGATATTTGTCTTGATGCAGCAAATACAGCCAGCACGTACAGAAGGAACCAGCCCCATGCTGGCAGCCCACTGCCCCAGTACATCAGGAGCCGAGCTGGTCAAAGCAGGATACAGCTGTCCCAGGTGGGAAGAGCTCTGCCAAATTTGATGGAGACACCGTGACCACGGTAAAGTGCCCAAGCTGTCAAGAGGTAATCAGCCTCCCTTGGGGGGCAGGAAATAAAGGAAAGACTGTCCTCAAATCTCACTTTTCTTGGGAATCCCAGAAATGTGGCTTTCTCTAATCTCCAACAATTCTCAATCTCTGATCTCTGCCTGGCTGTACAGGGAGCCATGAGTATGCACTTAATATGTGCTTGACATGTAGTATTTAATGAAGGACAGCAATTACAATTTTTAGTATTTTCCCAAACATGCATTTCTTTCTTCCAAGATGTTCTGTCTACCTCTTTTCCATCTCTTGGTAAAAAGAGTCAAGGGTAAGTGCCACTCTAACACATTCACCAAGTTCCAAGCCAAAACTGGCAGCAAGCCATCCTCTCAGTTCTGGGGAGCTCAGCCCCTAGTGCACTGTGGACCTCATTCCAGAGCCAGTGAGAAGCCCCCGGTAAGAACTATAGGGGTGAGACAGTCCCCTGCTTCCTCCTCTCATCTCATTAGGATGAGGACAAGTCAGGGAGAACTCCAGGGAGAAGAATGATGTTTAAATTCTGGTTCTTTCCCAACTCAGCACAATTTTGAACAAGTTACTCTCTGACACAAATGTTTCCTCTCCTGCCAAAAGAAAATAAACAAAATGGGCCTTTTGCTAACTAAGAACCAGAGATTGTAGTCTTACCGGGTACAGAATAATCACACTCCTTGTAATTCCTTAGATGAATATGCCATGCAGAGATGGGTGACTTATTCCTTTGTCAGCTGTCTGTCCCCTACAAACAAGGTGGGTTTACAGGTATCACCTGAGGATCAAAGCACCAGAAGCACCTACATGCCCTTGTTTTCTGAAAAGGTGAAGCTGTGAAAATCCAAGGTCAATGACCTTAGGTTTGACACAAGCAACTTCTTAACTGAACACAGGAAATCATTCAGGTGCCAAGGGGACAGTGAGTCACTCCTATGCACAGTAATTCAACATGTGCACGGCAAGAAAGCCCAGGTCATAAGGGAAGTGGGGCTCACTGTAGCCCAGCCCTATAATCTCTATGCTTATTTTCACAGGCCAGCTCCAGAACACGGGCCACAAAAAAAAGAACATCAAGAGAAACAGACAGCCCAAATTATTTCCGTAAAGATGCACAGTCCAAGAACACATGTTTAAAACTGAAATATCAAGACAGCTAGCTCAGCCTACCTCAGCCTTCTCACTGGGTTGTTTAGCCACACCGACTCTGGTCCTACTGCTAGTGATGTTAACTGGAAAAGGGTAGGTAACCTCTGAAGAAGGAATGACATACTGTGTGTCCTAGAAGGTCACTGTGTTCCAAGAGATCCTAAGGAAAAGAAGGACAAAGTAATCCCCTCTAACCAATGAACCAACAAGCCGATCCCAAAGCATGAAGGCTTCCTCAGTCACCACCAACAATTAATTATATTCTTTGAGAGCCAGAGTGTCTGCTTTTTTATTTATTTTTGTTGTTGTTGTTGGGTTTTTTTCTTTTTTTTTTTTTTTTTGGTATCAGGGATTGAACTCAAGTCCTTGTGCTTACGAGGCAGGTGGCAGAATCACTGAGCTAAATCCCCGGCCCTATTTATTTATTTATTTAATTTTTTTTCATTTTAAAATTGAGACATAACTCATATACCATAAGGTTTATACTCTTAAGACAATTTAGTGGCTTCCGGTACTGCTCTCTGCTTAAACCTAACCTGGGAAGGTTAGGTTCTCACAAGAGTAGAGAAGGCACATGAAAAGGAGCTAAGAAGGTCTGAATTTGATCAAGAGAAAGAAAAAAAAAATCTTTATGTACAGAAAGATTTCCAAAGCCAAGAAAGAAAATTCAGATGAAAAATCTAAATGCCAGATATCTCTCTTGAAAATCACTGCCATACTGGAGATAAGATTGTGTTTCTGGATCTGAGGTGGGAACAGAAATAGGAGTTCTATGCAACTGAATTTTGCCACCTATATCCTTGAGGTACTATTCCGAAGTGTATACAAATAGAACAAGGCCGTGCTCCTCTTAGTTAAAAAGAGCATGTCACACTGCCCTCTAGTAGCCAGCCTAGGAAATGACAGCTACAAGATAGATCAGGACGTGCAGTTCAACACTGAAAGGGAGAGAAGTTGGAGGAAGATGGAGTTTATACATTTTTGCCAAGGCCTACTAAACCCAGAGTCCCCCTGGAATAGAATCCATCTGCTTCCCTACACCTCAGTCTGTGCTGAAAAATAAAGTCCTTTGTAAAGGAAAAAAAAATTTAAGATTTCTAAAGTACTTGGGCCTAAAGCAAATTGCTCTTAAGAAATAGCATGGGAACCTGCAAAAATGAACTAAAAACTTGAGCCCATATGAAATCAAAACCTTGCTGTGCAGAGAGGTATGGCAATGTGCTAGGAGTTGAATATATTCGCTGCCATTTCTGCCCAAAGAAAGAGGCTAGCCTGAAAAATAGCTTACAAAAATATAATCTAGAGTAGAAACAGCAGAATCTAGAGTCCTTGGGGCCATTTTTTTTTAATAAGCTTTTTATTTAGAGTAGTTTGGATTTATAGAAATTTGTAAAATAGTAAACTCCTTACTCTTCTAATGTTAACATGTTATATAATTATGATACATTTTTTGTTGTTGTTGCTTGGTTTTCTGTTTTGTTTTTTGTTTTTGTTTTTGTTTTGGTGCTGGGGATCAAACTCAGGACCTTGCACTTGCAAGTCAGGCACAGTGCCACTGAGCTAAATCCCTGGCCCAATTATGATACATTTGTAAAGCCAAGATATTAATATTGGCATATTTATTAACTAAGACATTATTCAGATTTCACCATTACTGCCTAAGATTGGACCCTATCCTCCACCCCTCCCATGACACTAGGGATTGAACAGAGGACCTTCACACTGAGGTACATCCCCAGCCCTTTTTAAATTTTATTTTGAAACAGCACCCAAGGGTCTTGCTTAATCATTAAGTTGTTCATGCTGGACTCCAATTTGCAGTCTTCCTGCCTCAGCCTCCCAGAGTGCTGGTATTACAGACATGCACCCCAGCTAGCTTGGACCTTTAAAAGAAGTTTTCAGTAAGGAATAAAAGGACAAAATAGGCCATGGAGAAAAAAAACACTAGGTTCTAGACCCAACTCTGCCATATGCTAACTTTGGCATTATTTTGAGCTCTAAAAATACTCTTCCATCTCACAAATACCAATTGTACACACTTTCATCCATGCAGAACATTTTCTTTCCCCCTTCAATCTCCATTCTAATCCCATCCCACTATTTCCCACAGACCCAATTCTAGTGAGTTCAAGTGTAAGATTCTCCTTTAAAAAAATCATGTTCCGCCGGGCATGGTGGCGCACGCCTGTAATCCCAGCACTCGGGAGGCTGAGACAGGAGAATCGCTGAGAGTTCGAGACCAGCCTGGGCTACATAGTGAGTTTCAGGTCAGTCTCAACTACATAGTGAGACCGTGTCTCAAAAAACAAAAACAAAAACAAAAACAAACAAACAAACAAAACATCATGTTCCCACGTGGGTGCATGACTCAACGGTAGAAAGCTTGTGTAGCATAACTGAGGCCCCAGGTTGGACCCACAGCACCCAAAAAAAGTCATTTTGTGGAGTTTTTTGTTTTGTTTGTGGTATTAAGCCATCTCATTGAGCTACTCCTTCAACCCTTCTTAATTTGTGAGACGTGATCTTGCTAAGAAGTCTCTAAGTTGCCCAGACTGAGCTCAAACCTGCCACCCCTCCTGCCTTAGCCTGCCATTGCTGAGATTACAGAGGTGTGTGCCATCAGGCCCAATTGTATTTAATCAACTTAGCTGATTTTTGCTGTATTTTCTTCACCTGTAGTCTGTAAGTTCCTAATAGCTTGCACCTGACTTTAAAAAATAATATCCCATGATACGCACATATAACATTTTAGTTATCACTCCCTTAGTGATGGATATCTGAGTTGTTGCTAGCTTCTTCAACCGAAACTGTACATAGATAAACATCCTTATATATTACTTGAGAACCTGTGCAAGTTTTTTAGGATATAGTCAGAAGTGGAACTGATTTGATATATTTTATATACTGCTGTATAACAAATTATCCTACCCTAAATGCAAACTATCTAAAGGTTGTATCAGCTTAAAACACTTAACAACTCAAGAATGAGAGAAAATACTTGCAAATCATATACCTAATAATAGACTTGTCCCTATATATAAAGTTTTGTTTTGTTTCTGGTACTGGAGCTCTAAGCTAGGGCCTCAAACATGCTAGACAAGCATCATATCACTGAACTACACCCCTAGCCCCACAAATGTATACATGAAGAAAAGAAAAACTTGTATAAATATTTTGATACTAAATTTACTGAGACATCATGAGATTGACATGTTACCTTTGGTCTCTACAATTATAAAAGGTGCTCAAAGTGCTGGGCATCAGCTTCCAGACATTTATTAGTAAGAGAAACTGCTGAAGTATGCATACATTTTTTTGGTAGTATCTCTCTCTCTCTCTCTCTACTTATATATAGAGATTCATAAACATTTGTGTGTATATATATATATATATATGTATAAATGTATATATATGTGTATGAATATATACAATATATACGTATGTGTGTTAGCTTTTCATCACCATGACAAAAGTAACTGTGAAAATCAACTTAGAGAGGAAAGGTTTATTTGGGCTCAGGTTCAGAGGTTTCAGTGCACATTGGCTGGCTCCAGTATTTCTGGGCCTGGGGTGAGGCAGCACATGGTGGCAAAAGGGTATGGAGAAGCAAAACTGCTCACCTCATGGCAGCCAGAAGTAGAGAATGAAGCTGTGTTCATGTGTGCTTCCTCTCTCCACTTTTGTCCCATCTGGGCTTCCAGCTTAGTGGACAGTGCTGCCTACATTCAAGACAAATGCTCCCTAGAGATTGCTGTCCCATGTGCCCACTGTCTTAGAAACACTCACAAGACATATTCAGAAGGGTACCTCAATAATTTCCTGGCACTATATCAATACAATCAAGTTGACAACCAAGAGTAACCATCACAACGTTTGTATATGTATATACAACTGGGTTGTTGTGTATATGAAAATGGTCAAATGGTTTGAATAAACAAGAAAATACACAAAAATGCTCAACACATTATTAACCATTAGGGAAATGGAAATCAAATCCACAATAAGATATATAATCACATCCAGGAGCCAGGCGTGGTGGCGCACGCCTGTAATCCCAGCACTCGGGAAGCTGAGGCAGGAGGATCGCTGTGAGTTCAAGACCAGCCTGGACTACATAGTGAGTTCCAGGTCAGTCTCAACTACATAGTGAGACCCTGTCTCAAAAACCAAAAAAAAATAAAATAAAATAAAAATAAAAATAGATATATAATCACATCCACTAGGATGGTGATAATAAAAAAGATGGATAATAACAAATATTGGCAAAGATGTAGAGAAATTGAAACTCTCAACTACTTTGGAATAGCCTGGCAATTCTTCAAAAAGTTAAACATTGCATTACATATGACTCAACATTTCTATTCCTGGGTATGTATACAGCCAAGAAAAATGAAAGCATCCATCTAAAAATTTGTACATGAAGTGCTTATAATAGCATTATTCATAATAACCAAAAAGTGGAAGCAAATTATATGTCCATCAGATTATGCATGGATAAATAAAATGTGTATATCCACATAAGGGAATATCATTCAGCCATGTTACAACATGGATGAAACTTAAAAACATTACACAGAAAGAAAGTAGTCAGAAACAAAAGGCCACATATTTTATCAGTTTCATTCACATATTATATGAAAATTCAGAATAGATAAATCTACAGACAGACTAGAAGTTGTCCAGGGCTGGGAGAGGTGCAGATTTGCTGCTAATGGCTGCACTTACTTACATCTACAAGGTGATGAAAATATTTTAAAATTAGTCAGGGTGATAAAGAATGGAGAGAAGAAAACAAGGGGATAGATCTCTTGCAAATGCTAAAGGGGTCCAGGAGACTGCAGGCAAGGGAAAAGAGAGTAAGTAGAACTAAGATATTCCATGTATAAGAACCTAAAAACCTCCATGAATGTAAGCATTATACATCATAAACATGAACTAAGCGTTGTAAGAACATCCAAAATGAAAATGAGGAAAGGCAGAGAGAGTGAGGGAGGTGGGAAGTATACAAAAAAAGAAACAAGCTCTACTATGTATCTATAACCACTCCCCAAGGTGAATGTGTAAACATTGTTTTGCAAACATGTACTAATAAGAGAAAAACACTGAGGTGATAGGTACACAACTCTATGATATACAGTAACACAATGAACTGTACACTTTAAGGGGGTGAATTGGATTTTGTGTAAATTGTATCTCGCTGTTTTTTTAAAAAATTCTAAACATCAATTACCTCAGTTTTTTTGAGTCAAGTTGGAACTGGGTGTTTCTGGCTAGGATCTCTCAGCAGGTTGTGGTCAAGGTGTTGATGTGGGCTGCAGACTTCTTAAGGACTGAACAGAGCTAAAGGATCCTTCTAAGGTGGCTCACTCACGTTGGCTACTAGGCGTTGGCTGTGGGCCTCTCCAGGGCCGTTTGTTATCCTCAGGGCAGAGGCTGGCTTCCTCCAGAACAAATGCTTAGGAAAGTACAAGGCAGACACTTCAGTGTCTTCTATGACCAAGCTTCAGAAGTCACACAGCTCTAATACATCTCATTAGTTACACAGGCCAGCCCTATTTGTCATGGGAGAGGACTACACAAGATCTCAATACCAGACGGTAGGGATTATGCACGCCATTTTGGAAGCTGGCTACCGTATTTCAGGACAGTAACAATATCAACAGCTAAAAATCTCATGACATTTACTATGTCAGGTACTGTTCTAAGTTTACAATGAACCTACAGGATCATTCTCGTTCACAGATGAAGAAACTAAGGCACAGAGAACTTACCAAAGGTCACATGGCTAGCAAATGACATATTCATACTAAAATTCAGTATCAGGCAGTAGCTTGAGAGTCCACTCCTAAAAACTACACAATACTGCTTCCCAAATAATCCTTAATTTCTGTAAGTAACACTCATTTGCACTCCAAAATAGAGAAACAGGTAGAAATTTGCCATGAGGTTCATTCTTCATGAGAGTTCACTTAATTATTTCTCCCAAACTAATAGATCTAAAATAGAAACTCAGTGCTTTAATTTGCATTTTAATTACTAGTGATGTACTTGCTAGCCTCTAGATTTCTCTTTTGATTTTACCTTTGACATTCTTTCTATATTTTAATTTTGTGTTATCTCTTTCTTTCTGATTTACAAGAGTTCTATATTCAATCCCTTATATAGGAATCCCCAGCCAGTTTTAGACATTGCAAATAACTTCTATCTTTCATCTGTGACTATAAACTGCTTTATGAAATAGTCAATCAGATCTTATGAATTGTGAAGAAATCCATCGTCACCCTAAGATCACAAACATATTCACCATTTATTTTACTAGCTTTATTTTGATGCCAAGGATCAAATCCAGGGCTTCACACAAGCTAAGCATATGTTCTATCACTGAGTTACATTCCCTACTTGTTTTATTGTTATATTTCATTTAGATCCTTAATTGCTTTAGGGTTTTTGTTTTATATGGTATGAGGTAGGGATCCAGATTTATTTTTGTCCATATACTAAGCTAATTTTTGAGCACCATTATCCATGTCTTTTCCACTAAATTGTGACACTATCTTTATCATATACCATCTCTCCAATATTCCTGAATCTAGTTCAGTACTAATTATTGTTTTCTCAGAAGAAAGATCACTGAGAAAGCTTCTATTCATTACCAATTAATGAAAAAAAATCTAATCATTCATTGCTCACAAGATCCCCAGGGATTCAACATTCCCAAAACACAACACCCAGCTAGGAAATGATTTTAAAAAAATAAATGTATATTTATTAAAAACAAAAAGAAAAACCTTAGCCAAACAAACCCTGCAATACAGAAATCACCACTTTCTTCAGAAGCCAGTGACAGTGTTGGCATACCTCATAAATTCAGGTGCCTCTGTCCATCGATCAGGTCTCAAGTATCCCTCTATGGTCAACATTGGCATTCAACAAGTTGCTGGTCTGTGATGGCCCTGATTATTATTATCAAAGGCAAATGATACAGCTGGATACCTGGCTGTCTCATGCCACCACCCCAACCCACAGCCACTAGTACAGCCTCAGAAAAGCTACATGTCCTCAACACTCCACTTGTAGGCAAGTTCCTCCACTGCCTTCTTGCTGGCAAGTCTGGCAAAGCGCTTCTGTTCAAATCCATTGGATCTGTAATCAAAGATGACATAGTTATCAGAACATTGCACTGCACATTTGTTTTAAAAGAAAGAGAACAATTCATAATCATTAGGGAAAAAAGTTAGACATATTTAAGGTCTACGGAAATAGAATCAGAGTCAAAATACATAATTTATCTTTTATTAGTCCTTTTCTGGACACTTTTCCTACTCTGTGACAACTACTCAAACTCTTATCATTCTCTAAAGGCCCAGCTCAATCTTAGCTGATGTCCACATCTTATATTTATCCACTCCTTAAACAAATATTTACTGAATTCCCAGTGGACACTAGGCACTCTGGTAGATACTATAGGAAAATTAGTATGACACAGTGCCTGTCCCAATGAACTCACAGATAAGTAGAGACATTAAGTAATTTAACAGTCATTTAAATAAAACAAAAAGCATAATCTATGGTAGAAATATGTATAGGGTACCACAGAAACAGAATGGGGATTGCACTCAGCTAAGGGAAGAAATGGTGAAAAGATGGCATAAGTACGGACAAGAATGGTCAGGAGAGGATTCACAGAAGTGGCCCCTAAGCTAAGTCTGAAACAAGAACGACTTAACTAAAGGGATACAGGTGGCAAAAGGGTCAGGAGGTCATTTCAGGTCAAAGCAGAGCACGAAGGACAAAAACAAGCACAGAAATAAGAGTTATTCTGGTACAAGCAGGGAACCAAAGGCAAACTAGAGCCTAAAATATGACAAAAGGAGTGGTCATGAGTCAAAGCTGCAGAGCCCAAACCATAATGAGTTTCATAAGACGCAGTAAAAAGTTAGTTTCCCCCATTAAGGATGGGCTTAAAGCAGAAGCATAAACTGCACATCAAAGAGATTACTCTGGAAGAAAGTCTCTGCAATGGACTTGGAAACACATGGTAAAGCAAGAAGGACAGCAAGAGGGATAACACAATAGGCAAAATTAGTAGGACAGAAGAACAAAGGAGAAAGTAAGTATGCCTCACTTAATAATTTGAGAGACCATGTGAATATGACTGCCACCAGTCAGGCTAGAGAGCAGAAGAGCAGCAGTACACTTACAGTTGTGGAAGTTGTTGAAGGTAGTTTTGAATACATTGTATGTTAGGTATCTCAAGTACATATTACGAGAGAAATAAATTATGGAGCTAGATGCTCTGAAATGAACTGGAAATGCAGACTTGGAATCAGGTACATAGAGATGGTGCTAAAGGTCTGACTAGACAAGATTCAGCCAGAGAGAATGCAGTCCACTGAATGAGAATGACAAGGGGTCATGGATAGAGCCTTGAGAAACATTTAAGGGGTCCAGGAAGAAATAAGAAAGAGAAGAGAAAAGAACCAAGCGTAGGGTGTCATGAAAGCCAACACAAGGGTAAGCTTCAAAGAGGTAGCAGGTGGACCTCAAATCCATTCTAATTACTATGTATTATCTAAAGTAAAGTCCTATGAATCAAATCCAGGACCTCAGGTTTGGTAAACATGTGCCCTACCAGTGAGCTATGTCCCTAGGCCCTTGTTATTTAAACTTCTTCAAAGAGCCTGCATTCACTGTCTCCGTTTCCTCACATTTCATTCATTCTTTAATACACAAGAATGTGACTTTTTAAAAAAATTATTATGCCATAGAGCTAGCTCCCATAGAGCTAGCTCTCTTTCAGGTCATCAGAAATACTCCTTGTTGCCAAATCTAACAATTCTTCCCCTTTTCTCAAACCAGTCACCATGTTCCACTAACTTCTCCCCCAACTAGTTCTCTACTTCCTCCCCTTCTCCATCTTTGCTACTACTGTTATATCAGACCATCATCCTTGTATGTGGTCTACTTTGGTGCCTTTCAAATACTCCACAATACTGCCATAATGATTTGTCTATCTAAAATGTAGGAAAAAAAAATTTTTTTAAAAGGGCCAGGGATTTAGCTCAGTGGTTTCGCTGCCTGCCTCACAAGTGCAAGGACCCAAGTTCAATCCCCAGTACCAAAATACAAAAAAAAAAAAAAAATTAAAATGTAGGCGCTGCTTTTAATACTCAAATGGCTTCCCTTGCCTCTAGGACATGGACCACTCCTCAAAAAGGCTCCCAAGGCATTTTGTGACCAGAACTCTGCCAAACTCTTTAGTCCATCTCATACAACTCTTTCACACTTTATGCTGCTATCCAACAAAAGCAAATTGCTTATGACCCCACCCACCCCATCCTATAACACATGGTATTCCATATTCTATGACGTAGCACAAACAAGACCCTTTTCCTTTAACATCCTTCCTTTCTCTTGGGTGGTTAGTGACAGCCTGTAAGATTCAAATCCTCTAGGAAGAATTCTCAAACCACATCCTCACTCTTCAATGCTAAGTTTACTCTCCCTTTGTGTTCCCAAAGCATGTGAAAATTTTTTCTTTTTTTTTTATCACTGAGTTTATTGGTACTTTTTAGGTACACAGTACAGTTACATTCATCATTGGGATCTTGTACCTTTACCTCACAGGTCTTGGTTCTCATTTTTCCCCACATCCTGCCCTTCCTTCACCCCTGCACCCTTCCCTATTTACAAAAACTTTGTTTCCGTATTTCCATTTTCTTGTATTTTTTCCCTTATTTCCTTTCCCCTTCCCTTCCCACTTCCCCTACATCTTTAGCCCTTTTTTTTTTTTTTCCTATTTCACACTGTCAATTATACCATTTGGATCTTATTTACACTTTTAGCTTTTCATACCAAAGACATGAAATTTTTCTATGGTAACACTAACCAACGAGCCTTGAAATTATCTGCCTGACTGCTCATATAGGTAGAAAGTGAGCTCCTAGACTTGGGATCTGTCTCTCACTCAATATGGAATCTTTGGCACTTAGTACACAGCTGTTTAAAGTTAAAACATGTTGAAAAAAAAATGTATGTTAAGGACTTCCCTAAGGAATACATGGGGTGGACTAATGGAAGACTTTAAGAGAAAGGAACACTCATTATAAATGGCACCATCACCAACCTTAGAAACATGCATATTATTCAGAAGCACCAAGGAAACCAGTTGTTTACTTTGGGAAATAAATATTTAAAAGAATCAACCTTAATATGACCATGTAAAGGAAAGAAAAGATATCTGCTCTTACTGTCAGCTAATGCAACAAGGCAAGAAAATAAAACAAAAGGCATCCAGGGCCAGGGATTTAGCTCAGTGGTTCCACCGCCTGACTGAAGTGAAGGTCCCAAGTTTGATCCCTGATACAAACAAACAAACAAAAAAGGCATCCAGAATGAAAGTAAAATTTAAGAATCACTGTGCTAGAGGAAAGAAAGATGTTCTTTAGTAAGCAAAAGAGATGAGACCCACTGTATGTAGAAGGACTGACATTAAGTAGAAGCAAATACAGTTCATCCATCATAACAGACAGGAAGTTAAAAGTATACAAGTGCAGGCACTGGTAGGTGAATAGAGGAGGTGGTAGCGATCTCTGAGACATAACCAGAGACTTACTCCCAAGACAGTGAAAAGAACTATGGTTCAAGCACATTTTAAAGATATAACAAACAGAAGTCTCCAAATAACAACCAATCACTCAACCCCTCCAAACTTCACAAAATATTAATAATGACCAATGTCTAAAACAAAGGATATCCTATCTGCGACCACATCAGCTGTCTCTCTAGAGTGGTGGTGGCAAACCTATGGCACTTGTGCTGCAGTGGGCTGTTTGTATCATTAACATCTCTAAAAGGTTTGTTATCTCTAACCTAGAGCTTTTTAAAAGGGGCATGGGGACTTAGCTCAGTAGCACCACAAAGAGAAATAAAATAAAAGCGGGGGAGGGGGAAGATGCTACTCACCTTGTGATTACAGTAGAGAATGAGTATAGTTTAAGAATGGTAGTAAAGGTTAGGGTCAGGAGGAAGTGGGAGTAAAAAACTGAAGGAAATAGTCTTACCTATCCACTCCATCCCAACGATATCCAGGCCAGATATTGAATCTGTTTGGCGGTGGTGCTCGTCCATTGTATCGAGGTCTCACTAATGAGAGGAATGAAAAAAAAAAGGTTAGTTACTTATGTAATTTAACTCAGAGATGGATGGTGATGGGGGAAAAAATTTTTTTGAACGAATGACCACCATCAAGAAATCAAATAATAACAAATGTAGGAAAGGCTACAGGGAAAAAAGGAACCAGCCTACATTGTTGGTGGGAATGTAAACTTGTACGACCACTTGGAAATGAGTATGGAAATGCCTCAAAAAACTAAAACTAGGGCCGGGGATTTGGCTTAGTAGTTCCACCACCTGCCTGGAAGGCACAAGGTCCTGAGTTCAATCCCCAGTACAAAAAAAAAAAACAACAAAAAAAAAACTAGAAATTCCATTTGACCCAGTTATTTCTTTTCTAGATATCTTTCTGAGCTAAAGATATCATATTGCAGTGATACATGCATAGCCATGTTTATAGCAGCACTATTCATAATAGCTAACTCTTGGAAGTGGCCTATATATCCATCAACAGATGAAAGGATAAAGAATATGTGGTTTTTACACACAGTGGAGCATTACTCTGTCATAAAGACAGTAAAGTTCAGTCATTTTTAAGAAAATGGATATACCCTGAGACCATGTTAAGTGAAATAAAACAGACATATAAGCTTAAATATCACATGGTTTCTCTTATATAAGAAACCAAAATTATAAATAAAAAGCAAAACAAAGGGTAATAGAAAGTAGGGAGATAGATCTTTCTCAAATGGAAAGGGGATCAAGTGATGGAGGAAGGAGTGAGGAAGGGGATGGAAAGGGGACGAAAAAAATGAATTAAGATGTGTTATGAACACGTACCGACGTCACACAAGGAATCTAAGCATTACACACTGCAAACTAATACTCATAAAAAAAGAAGAAATCCCTACCAGCTGAACTCAAACTCCACACAAACACAAAGAATTTTAAATTGCGTGGGAAAGCCCCCTTGGCACACAGCTATGTAGAGGAACTCCAATAATTCTCTTTACTAAGCCAGCTCCAGCTCTGAGGATTCCTAATGTCACCTTTCTTATTCTTGCTCTCCTTGGCCTTATTTTTCTTGATGAAGTTGGCCATGGGGTCTCCCTCCCTTTCTTGTTCTCTCAGCATCCGATCCAAATCTTCATCATCAATATAGCGGGCTAGAGGCTTTTGCATCTCCTTCATTGCATCCTCCACATTTTGTTGCTGTTGCCGGCTCTGGGCAAGGCTGGGCAGGAAAATTAACATTCTTTTAACATTTCCACTCCTACATGGAGATGGACCACAATGCCACATTCAAAGAACCTCCTCCTGGTAGTGTCAAGTGCCAAATATTCAAAAGGGTAAAATGGGCTAGGGATTTAGCTCAGTGGCACCACAACTGTCTTGCAAAGCAGAAGGTCCTAGTTCAATCCACAGTACCACCAAAAAACAAAAAGGTAAAATCCCTAGAATATCAAATGCAAGTATAAAATCTATCAGTTTTGGAAAGGAGATTCAGCATACTGAATGTCCATTTCTGATAACAGCTTTGAAGAAAAGCAGAGAAACAACATCCTCCAGGTATTGCAATCTTGCTTTCACTTTCAGCACTTTCAGTGATGCCCTTACCCTTTGCCCCACTGGGCATACAGCTCTTCTCGTTCTGAGTCCTTCTGTGCTTTTCTCCTTTGTTCAAGACGTTCCAGTTTCAAATTCCTCTTACGACCAGTCTTGTCACGAAACACAGTTTCAGCAAACTGGAATTCAGCTGTAAAAGAAGAAATCTTTTTAAGATATATACCTGGGATCAAAATCAGGATATGTAAAGGTACAAGATCCCAATGATGAATGTAACTGTATTGTATACATAAAATGTACCAATAAACTCAATGAGGAAAAAAAAATCAGAAATAATATTCTAACAAATGAAATAAACTGCTTTGGATTTTTATGCCAGATAAGTATATCTGCAGCCTGAACACAAGTAGTTCCTACCAACATATAAGTCTGTACTGGAATGGGCCTAAGAATTGACATTTTTCAAGAGGGAAACACTTGAATCCTCTGAAAGGTTAAAATGATGCATAAAAACCACAGCTGGGATCTGACAGCAATTAAATATTTAAATTATCTGGTATAACAAGCTATATTAAAAAGAAAAAAGGCTACACAAACCTAGACCACACCCTGCACTTTCATTTTTACCTTCAAATGCCATGTTGTCTTGGTCCTGTTTTTTGAGATCCTGCTGTTCTTGCTGTATGTCAGTTAACACCAACCCAGTTTTAGCCCCAGAATACATGTGCGCAGCCTGTGCAATGGAAAGGAGTAGCCAACATCAATAAGATAATACAACAATAGGCTCCATGGGTCTACATAGATAGTTGCATTTTTGTCTGCAACAACCAAACCAAAAACACTACTTTTTATTCTCCTTACTGACCATAAGATTCACAACACAGGAAAAAAGAAACAAATCCTAATTTCACAGAAAATTTAATAGTACTATCAACTTTAGGAGTAAACAGAAGCACATACCAATAATTCATTAAAGGGAGAGCTGAGCACTTACATTTCTGACTTTTCATATATAAATTGCACACATGAAGACTCACTCTCCCAGATCACCTGATGAGAAACCTGTACCAAGCTCTGGACCACCCACTAGAGACCCACTAGATAAAATACTCGATTTATAGTGCAAATTTACACAAACCTAAGATCGTCAAGTTGTGGATATGTAATAAAGACAATAATAGAAGACATAATCACATGAAAACTTTCCACAAATCTATACTTTGTATCAAGATCCAATAAACCCCAAACCACAAACAAGAGTATATAATAAACTGTGAAGGGGTGCAGTTAAAATAGGGACCTTACTCTTCAAAGAGGGTTAGGGACAGGCTGATCTGTGCTGTCAGGATCAATCTTCTCCAAACCCTTCTGCAGAAAAGACTCACCTGAGAAGTATGCCTTGCAGAGAAATATGCATATCCCAGGCTCTATTGTTCTTACCCAACTCATGAGTAAGACTCCCTTTACTTCTGCGAGTGTTCTTTACAATGTAATCACTGTACTCAGAGTTCATGTGGTTTCTCTTCTGCTAATTTATCAAATTTTATCATACATTCAAAACAAGACAAAATATTGTAACTCCAGATAATTTGCAAAAGTAATTTTATATTTTAAGTCCTTCTCTTTAAGCTCTAAGATATAGAAGCCAGTAGTTCAATTTATAATAAATTTATAATAATAAATCATTAGTACAAAATGCTTATTTTGTCCCAGACACGTGCTATGAGTTTTAATTACACTAATTGATACTGCAGTCTCAGAAAAACCTTGTACTGTAAAATAGAAGCTAGCATTTCTTGGGCTGGGGATTTAGCTCAGTGTCTGCCTCGCAAGCGCAAGGTCCTGACTTCAATCCCCAGTAAAAAGAAAGAAAGAAACTAGCATTCTTCACATTTTACAGATGAACAAGCGGAGCCTTAGAGATATCAACCTCACAGACAGTGGCACAAATAGGATTCAAATCTGTGTTCAGATTTGACACAGGACTATGCTCCTAACCCCACTCTGTAAAGGAGAGCCCTCAGTTTATTCTTAAAAAAAAAAAAACCCAATTTTTCCTCCAATGATAATCCTCCAGGTGTACAACAACATAATTCAAAAATCTTGAATGGATAAAGAAAATGTGGTATTGATTGATTGATTGATTGGTGCCGGGGATTGAACTCAGGGCTTTGCACTTGTGAGGCAGTCAGCAGAACCACTGAGCTAAATCCCTGGCCCTGAAAATGCAGTATTTATAAACAATTGAGTGCTACTCAGCCATAAAGAAGTGAGTCACTTGTAAGAAAAATATGTGTATCTTGAGACAACAATGTAAAGTAAAATAAATCAGATACACAAGCTTAAATGTTACACAGTTTTTCTTATATGAGAAACCCAAAATATAAATAAAGAGCAAAATAAAGATAGGTAATAGGAAATAGGGAGACAGATCTTTTCACATGGGAAGAAGATCAAAAATTGATGGTGGGGCCAGGGATTTAGCTCAGTGGTTCCGCCGCCTGCCTCGAAAGCATCAAGGTCCTGAGTTCAATTCCCAGTACCAAAAAAAGAGAGATAAAGGGAAGTGGGAGGGAAAGGGGATGAAAAAAGAATTCAGATGTGTTATGTACAATTCCCCAAGGGGAATGCAAACATTACATAATGCAAATGTACACTAATAAAAAAAAAACTGAAAAAAAATTCCACAAGTTTTTCTGGATATATTAAAATGAGATTAGTGGAATTATGAAGTTATAAGGCAGAACCTCTTGTGAAACCTGGTACAGGTTGAAAAACCCTAATCTAAGAGTCTGAATTCCAAAATTCTCCAAAATCCAAAACTTTTTGAGCATCAGGTTAGTGTTCAAAAAGTTTTCGAGCCGGGGATTTAGCTCAGTGGTACCGCCACTTGCCTCACAAGTGCAAGGACCCAAATTCAATCACCAGTACGAAAAACAAAACAAAAAAAGAAACAAAGCACATTTTAAATAAATACTTTTTTGATAATCAGACACACAAGCTTAAATATCACAATTTTGCTGATATGAGAAACCAAAAGTATAAATTAAGAGCACAATAAAGGATAATAGGAAATAGGGAGACAGATCCTTTTTGCAAAAGGGAAGAAGACCAAGAGATGGGGGACGAGGGGGAAGAAGATAAAAAAATAATTAAAACTGTATATTTACACTTTTGTGAGATCCTTTTTGCTGTTTTACCATTTTAAGTCTCTGTACTTCGCTACACACAGATTGTATTTTGAATGAAGTAATTTTTTTGGTACCAGAGATTGAACTTGGGTCCTTGCACTTACAAGGCAGGCAGAGAAACCACTGAGCTAAATCCCCAGCCCCACACAGACTGCATTTTTATTGTTATTGCTCTTCTTATGGATATCTGCATTTAACATGTGGACTATGTAAACACAATATATATCAATATCTATGTATCTATATAAACTACTAGCTTTTTAAAAATAGTAATAATAATAATAGGGCTGGTGATTTAACTCAGTGGTTCCACCACCTGCCTCACAAGAACAAGATCCTGAGTTTGATTCCTGGTACAAAAAAAAAAAATTTGTTTAAATGATAATAATTAAGATATGTTCTGTATATACTTACTCCCCACAGTGAATGGAATCAATTTCAGATTTCTGTATGCACATATTCCAAAATCCAAAACAAGTCCAGGGCTGGGAATGTAGCTCAGCAGCACAGCACCTGACTGGCAGGTGCAAGGCCCTGAGTTAGATTCCCAGTACCAATCAGTGAATAAATAAATCAACCAATCAGTCAATAAAACAAGTCCAGTCCCAAGCATTTTGGATTAGGGATATTCAACCTGCATTTAGAAATCCATCTAAGTTGAGTTATAACCAGTCCTGCCTTTACAGGGACAGTTCCAAAAGTCCTTTTAACTAAGATTTTTTGTACTACTGAGAGCTACTTCCTGCTTCTCTGGTTTGATTCTCAGGGATTTCTACAAAGCTAAAAAGTAGGAGTTATTCTAAGAAAAGGAAATGGCTCCCAGCTATCTGTACCTTCTTTCCAGGAGGCTGACTCCTTCGAGGTGGAGACAGATCAGAATCCGAAGATTTGGCCCTCTGTTTTCTCCTTGGTGGCGAGAGGTCAGAATCAGAGCTCCGGTGTCTTGGTCTATTCCTTGGAGGTGACAGATCTGAATCAGAATCCTGGTGCCCAGGACTCCGTTTATGCCGTGGAGGTGAAAGATCTGAATCAGAAGCTTTCCGGTAGTCACCTGGGGAGAAAAAAGAGTCCATCATGTGTCTCCTAGGTGAAAGGCCTGCAAGACATATTCTATGCCTGGGAGAACAGTCTAAAAATTAAAGAATAAACAGGAGCTGGGCTAAGTAGCTCAATAGTATAGTGCTTGCCTAGCAAGTAGGAGACCTTGGTTCAACCCCCAAAAGTAAAAAAAATTAATTAACTAATCTCCTTAAAACTTTCCAAGTAAGTTAGCATACTTGTTTAAACTTGTTGTGAAAAAAAATCATTAACCTGAACACAAGTATGGATGACACAAGAGAAGAACAAAGTCATATCCAACTTTTACATCAGAGGCAGGATATGGAGGTTCTATTCCCAGGTGACTAATGAATGCCTGAGATGTCAACACACTAATCTATGTATAGTTACTTCCTCTCCTCCAGGCCAACAAAATGGGCAAAACAACTTGAAACCAGCCCTCTGAACTGTGGCACAAGTCAGAAACACCTAGAATGCTGTATATTCTGATGTCCTTAAACAAGATAACAAAGTATTTTAATTTAAAATTAAGAATTCCTAGGAACAAAAGATGATGTAAAATATTTCTCTGCCTAAGCCTAAATTCTAGATAAAAGCATCAAAAATCACCTCTCAAAAACCAGTATGCAATATGCATTAACAGTCTCAAAACATCCACACTATCTGAGCTAATAAATCAACTTCTTAGCTTTCTAGGAAACTCACCTACAAGTAAAATTTCCAAGGAATCTTTAAAGAAGCAGTAAAAGAAATAATCCAAAATAGGGACAACAGTTTATAATAAATATGACTATTCACTAAAAGAATTAAAAGCAAAAGCTCAAAAATAATAAAAAACATGTAATAGGGAAATACCTGATGAAATCTTTATAACCTAATGTCATTAAAATCTATACTAACAAAGAGATGTTTTTAAACCTGGAAATTATGTTCAGAGGACAGGAAAGATTACACATGTGATAATTCATGTTGGGTATAGTCAGAAATTGATTCTATCAACAGCATATATCAGAGCCAGAGATTTAGCTCAGTCCCGTGCCTGCCTCGAGAGGTCCTAAGTTTGATCCCTGGTACAGAGGAAAAAAAAAAAAAGCGCATACCAAAGAAACCTAAAGAAGCTGGGCATGGTGGAGCACTCCTGTAATCCCAGCACTCGGAAGGCGGAGGCAGGAATATCACTGTGAGCTCCAGACCAGCCTGGGCTACATAGTGAGTTCCAGGTCAGTCTCAACTACATAGTGAGACCCTGTCTTAAAAAAAAAAAAAGACCTAAAGAACATTCATGATCACCCTAACAATGAATACTTCTGAGTGGCAGAATTTTGTGTCATATTTTTTTCTGTTTCATTATACATATATTTCCATATAGTCTAAAGTTTTTGCAATAAACATGTATGAGGTATGATTTGCCATACTCTCAAAATACTCCCCCTTGCTTCAAACACATTTATCCCATCATTCTTGATGAAGCAGTTCTAGAGGTCTTCTTTAAGTGTCTTTAGTTGCCCTGAAATGGGTGCCTCAATGTCCTGAACTAAATGAGAATCAAGACCTATTATGTAAAGGTACAGAATCCCAATGATGAAAGCAACTGTACTGTATACCTAGATTGTACCAATAACCTCAATAAAAAAGAAAAGCGGTGCCAGGGATTTAGCTCAGTGGTTCTGCCACCTGCCTCGCAAGCGCAAGGTCCTGAGTTCAATCCCCAGCACCAAAAAAAAAAAAAAAAAGAAAAAGAAGAAAAAAAGAAAAAAGAAAAAAAAAAAATGTTTACCTTTCATGGCAATTTTGACTTTGGGGAATGGCCAGAAGTTGCACAGTGCCAAAGAAGGGACAAGGAAAAAAAAAAAGAGAATAAAAGGAAAAAAATGGAAACAAACCTTTTGTAAATAAAGAGGGGAAGTGGGGTTGAAGGGAGGGGAGAGAAATGGGAAAAAAAAAGAAGCAAGATATATCATGTATAGGTAGATTCCCTATGATGAATGTTATCATTATGTATATCAAAAATGTACCAATAAAAAAATTTTTTATTGTTTTTTTTTTTGTTTTTTGTTTTTTGGTACCAGGGATTGAACTCAGGTCCTTGCACTTGCAAGGCAAGCAGCGGAACCACTGGGCTAAATCCCCAGCAAAAATTTTTTTAAAGAATAACAAAAAAGAAGTTGCACAGAGCCAGATCCAATAAGGTGGATAAGGACACACCATAACGTTTTTATTTGACAGAAATTGCCATAAATTATTTGAATTGATTCAAGACATCAAAACAGCCATAAAAAGATACAAAAGATTTCAAAAACTCCTTAAGAAAGTGGCAAGAAATATAGGATAAGTGTGTTATATTTCAATTCCCCATTGTAGTATATTTTTATATGGGGAAGGGACAGTAAACAAAGACATACAAAAACTTTTCACCCTGCTACTATAATTTTTAAACTTTCCTGAGCCCAGGCTCTCACTCTACAAAATTTTCCAAAGAAACTCATTCTCAACCTCTTATAAAGCAAATAAAGACCCAAAAGGAAGCTTCCAGAGATTCTCTACCATGGCAGTCATAATGCTTACCTTTAGAATCAAGCTGCCTCTGATCTCCAAAATGAGATTTTCCTTGCTTTTTTCGTGGAGAGAGGTCTGAACCATATTCACTTTTGATGTTCTTCAAGAGTGAAGGATGTGTAGATCCTGACCCCTTCCAATGTGAAGAAGACTTGCTAGAGGCTCTTTCTGGGGTTTTATTTCTTTTGGTTCTGGGCAGTGAATGAGCAGCATCAGGGGCCAAATGGGAGGGCTCATGATGATGGCCCTTTCTGGGATGCCATATGTCTGAAGAGTCAAGAGTCCTCCTAGGTTGGGATGTGTCAAAGGAATTGTTATGGGCCCTTCTGGGGTAAGAGATACCTGAGGAATCATGAGGGACTCTTCTAGGAGATACATCTGAAGAATTATGATGAGGCTTCCTAATGGGGGACGCATCTGAGGAGTCATGGTGGACCCTCCTGGGAAAAGATGTGTCTGAGTCTTGACAGGCCCTTCTAGGAGGAGATGGATCCAGAGTTTCATGACGGGCCCTCCTAGGAGGAGATGAATCCGGAGTATCATGACGGGCCCTCCTGGGAGGGGATGGATCCGGGGTATCATGACGGGCCCTCCTAGGAGGAGATGGATCTGGGGTATCATGACGGGCCCTCCTAGGAGGAGATGAATCCGGAGTATCATGACGGGCCCTCCTGGGAGGGGATGGATCCGGGGTATCATGACGGGCCCTCCTGGGAGGAGATGGATCCGGAGTTTCATGACGGGCCCTCCTGGGAGATGAATACGGAGTTTCATGATGGAAATGACTATGTGAGGATAGGTCTTCACTGTGGTCTGAATACAAATAGCAAAGAGTCAAATTCCCACAAATGCTCTGACCACCCCTCACACCCAAAGTTTCAAAAGATGCTCCAGGAGCACACAGCTTACAACTACTCAGCCCAAAAGGCATACACAGCTCTCCTTTGTTTAGGGGCAGCAAACCAACATTCATGGATATATCATGAGAATACTTTTCTTATTTGTCTATTTGCAGAGCATTTTAAGTATACCTTTCATATTCCTGTCTCTTATAAACTCTTCCAAAGTCCTGTCTTTATTCCAGGTGCTCTCCAAGGCTGGGCCAGAGAACAAAGAGTGATGAAAGGCTCCAATTGACTCACTTTCTGCCCTCAGAAACCCTAATGGAAAAACATCAGAGCAGAAGGGACACCTGGTCTATAAATTCCAATGTCTTACTACTTATGAAGAAGTTCTGGAGGGCCAGGGATTTAGTTCAGTGGTTCCACCTCCTGTCTCGTAAGCACAAGGACCTGGGTTCGATCCCTGGTACCAAAAAAAAAAGACCAAGTAGTTCTGAATTCTTTTCCCCACTGTATATTTCAGGATCAATGGTACACAGAAATAAACTACACATTCCTCTAAAAGTAAAGCATAAAAAAGGAAAATTTGTCCCATAATAGTAAATTTAGATTTATCTATTGTTGGAACTCACCTCCCAGAAGCTTCCATTTGGTACTACAACGAAAAGCCTCCATCTGCTTTACCTCTTCTGGCCGCTCATCCACAAACTCAGCCACCTTTGGGAGTAAAGACACTATGCTGAGGAAGAATGCAAGATCTAGCCAAGAAGCACTGTGTTCTCAAGAACCTGAAGACGCTAGCTATTAAGAATGGAAATGACTGCTGAACATAGAGGTGCACACCTGTAATCCCAGCACTTGGGAGGCTCATGCAGGAAAATTATCACAAGTTCAAAGCCAGCCTGGGCTGCACAGTCACTTCAAGGCAGGCCTGAACTACATAGTAACAGACTATCTCAAAAAAAAAGGACAAAAAATTCTAATTCCTAATATATACTGGGCATGCATACCCAAAGGAATCATGAAGAAATACGCAATAGTCCTTAGTTATGTTTGCTCCATAAAGCTCTGATTGTCACTATTGGCTTATGTGTGCATGTTTATCTGATCAATAAACTTTTCTCCAAAGATTAATGTCTTTCATTATAAACTTTATTAACCCTTCAGTTACACAACTGCTACTTGTAAGCTAAATTCCTTTTACAATTTACTTTTACATTCAGTGTGAAAACATAAACTGCCATCCTGTCGTGCCTATCCCTAATTAAGGACTCTGGGCCCTATGAAACTTTGTTGTGAACAGTCACGACGATAAGTCTTCTTGAACCCAACCAAAGGGAGCCACTGAGATGGACACAGAATCATAGAATCCTTCATATTTTCCAAACTCCTAAACAAAGTAGAATCTTGACACCCCCCGCCAACCCAACAGCAGTGCTGGGAATTGAACTCAAAGCTCCATGTCCACTAAACAGGTGCTCTACCACTGAGCTATATCCCCAACCCTGGAATCTTCTCTATAGTATCTCTAACAAATGATCATTTACCCAATCCCACCCTGACAAGGAACTCAGTAACAGGGAACTCATTCTCTTACAAGGAAGTCCACTGCATTTTTTGCATAGTGTTAGAAACATCTTAGTATTATTGGACCTATGCTTACTCTCCTATAACTTCTTTCCTTCCATCCTAATTCTGACCTCTGATACAAAAGATCCCTTTCAAAGATAGCTGGCATGACAGATTCTAGTTACAGAATAGCAACTGTGCACTAGGCATTGTACTCTGTCCTTTACTTATATCATCTCACTCAATCCTCCCAACTCCAACAAAAAAAGATTCTAAGACATTTACCAGCAAATTGGCCCAGAGTTTAAATATAAATAACTTCCTCTATGTCACAGCTAGCAAGCCGCAAAACTGGAATTCAAATCCAAGTTAAGTCCCCTCTACTGTTCCTCTTCTCCCAAGATCCTACCATCATTCCTCATACAATCTACTTTTGAGATCTCCCTCTGGGCACTGATGGTACAGGCTTTCAAGTAAGATGAACTGAGCTCTAAAACCGCAGTGCCGCCACTCAGAACTGTGTAACCTTTGGCAAATTATTCTAAGCTTCAGTTTCCTCATCGTAAAAGCCAAACACAAAAGACTGCAGTGAGAATGTAATATCATTCATGTAAGCTCAGTAGTGCTGAGTATGTGGTAAATGCTCAATAAAATAAACTTATTACTCTTTTTTTTTTCAGTACTGGGGATTGAACTCAGGCCTTTGCACTTTTAAGGCAGGCGGCAAAACCACTGAGCCAACCCCCCAGCCCACCTATTAGTTACTCTTATATGAAATGCTATTATCACCATCATAATTATTTTTGTCATCGTTACTAGTAAACATAGCAATCTGCTGTAACAAAATTTAACTCAATCATCAAGATCTGTTTTAACCACTGCAGAATGCACTAGGCTTAAAGCCTCCTTTATTTAGGGTTGTGTGTCATCACAAAAGCAAAAGAAAATTAATAGACTTGGGGCGGGGATGTAGCTCAGGGGTATAGTCCCTGCCTGGCAAGTTTGATTCCTGGTACCCCTCCTCCAAAAAAGAAAAGAAAACTAATAGACTTGACTACACAAAAATTAAAATTTCTAAAAGGCCAAATATTATTATAAATGAAAAGGTAAATGAGGAAGCTGGACATGGCGGTGCATGCCTGTAATCCCAGCACTTGGGAGGCTGAGACAGGAGGATCACTGTGAGTTCCAGACCAGCCTGGACTACATAGTGAGTTCCAGGTCAGTCTCAACTACGTAGTGAGACCCTGTCTCAAAAAACCAAAAAAAGGTACATGATAAAACATACATAAAATATATATGAGCTCCAGACCAGCCTGGACTACATAGTGAGTTCCAGGTCAGTCTCAACTACGTAGTGAGACCCTGTCTCAAAAAACCAAAAAAAGGTACATGATAAAACATACATAAAATATATATTCTTTTATATATAGTATATATACATAAATGTATACATTTATATTCTTATTCTAAAATACCAAGTTAAACAATGAAAAAAAATAAAAATCCCCTGTGCTCTAATGGTATTTGATGCCTGTGTAGAATACATCTTCAAAATGTATTTATTGTTGAAACTGTTTAAAATTTGGTCTCTCAGTCTAGGGTGTAAACACTAAAGCACAGATAGTGCCATTTATTCATCTACATATCTCCAGTTCTTAGGCAAGAATGTACAATTTTAAAGCTTAGTTAAACCAAAGAACAAAATGCATAAATAATAAGTTCCTCTTAAATGAACCCAAACACTGTTTTTTATTTTTTATTTTTTTTTGGTACCAGGGATAGAACTTAGGTACTTGCACTTGCAAGGCAGGCGGTGGAACCACTGAACTAAATCCCAGGCCCCCGAACACTGTTTTTAAGGTAGATTCCAACAAACTGAACCATGAATAATTCTAATCATGGTTCAATCACTGTATCAAGGCATGTTGCCTTTCTTTGTTCTGATTTGTATGCTGATAGGTCCCTCCATAAACAAAGAAGTCAATCAACAAATGTTGCTCACATTATGATGGGGTTTTGTCCACTAAAACCATCATAAATTGAAAATATCATAAGTTGAAAATGAGGATGAAGGGAGGGCAGGGGTATAGGGCAAAAATAAGAACCAAGACATATCATGTAAGGGTAGATGATCCCAAATATAAATGTAATTGTATTGTTTGCTTTTAATGCACCAATGAACTTAACGGGGGGAAAATGCATTTAATATACCTAACATGGATCAGCCAAGCATGGTAGTGCATGCCTGTGATCCCAGCACTTGGAGGCTGAAGGATCACATTGAGTTCAAGGATAACCTGGGCTACACAGTGAGTTCAAGGCCAGCCTGAACTACCCTGTCTTACATACACACACAAAAAATACAGTTTTATTTGAACATGTATTGCTTTCATACTACTATAAAGTAAATATTTTTTAAAAATAAAAAGTTAAATCATCAGTAAGTCAGGACCATTTGCATAAGCATCATGAAAAAAAAAAAGACTATGGTCAACAGGTCTTTGGAAAGTGTCAGGTCTTCTCTGAGGTCTCCCTCCTACAAATTTATGCACTGGGAGTCAAGACTGAGAAGCTTAACCACCTCAAAGTTCTGACAATGGGACCATCCAAAAGAAACCTACCAAGGCCGCAGATTTAGCTCAGTGGTTCCACTGCCTGCCTCACAAGCACAAGGACTCAAGTTCAATGCCCGAGTTCGATCCCCAGTACCAAAAAAAAAAAAACAAACAAACAACAAACAAAAGATACCAACCACAGGCAAATCTCCATCATCTTCCTCTTCCTTCTCTGGTTTAGTGGTAGAGATAGCTGTCCAGCTCACGTCATCATCAACAATCCGCATTCTAAATGGAACAGTAAAATTATCAAAACAGAAAAAAACACTTATCTATTGGATTAAAGATGATGTTAAAAATCCTACGTGGTCTAGTCATTGTTTATATGGACAACTTTATCTCATGCCACAACCCTCTCAATTCACTTTCACTGCTCATCTTTGGATGCCTGGAATGGGTCAAGTTCCTTACCATGTCAATTTTCAAAACTGAAGCACCTTCCCTCTGCTGACCTCCTTTCTCATTATTTATAAGGAGATTCTAACTCATCCATCAGGTTCTAGCATAAATATAAATTCCTTGGGTATATCTTCCTTGCCTACCCCTCCCTAGTTCCAGGATAAAAAACCTTGCAGCACACTCTTTAACTACTTTTGTTTTATCTATCACAAAACAATGAAATCAGTTAGTTGTATAAAGCTTGTATTTTCATTAAACTATAAGCTCCATCAAAAAAAGGACTAAGTGGGACTGGGGATTTAGCTCAGTGGTTCTGGTGCCTGCCTCGGAAGCGCAAAGGACCTGAGTTTGATCCCCAGTACCAAAACGAAAAAAAAAAAAAAAAAAA